TGTGTGAAAGCTTAACGTCAGCTGCTTCCTCTCTGCTTGCTACCAGGGCCCTATTTGGAAATCCCAGAGCCGAGCGGGTGATGGATGCTCTCTGCAGTGCCCCCTGTGCTGGAAAGGCAGTGTGTGGAGGAGGACAGCTCTTAAAACCATCTATCCATCACCTTTTACATCCTCCAAGTCCATCCTCCTTTCCATCCAGGCCAGCCGGGACCCTCAGCTCTTTGCCTTTGGATGGTGCCCCACGGCTTGATGGAGAAGGTGGAGGAGTTGTTGGGTTGCTCAGCCTCAAACCGGGTCAAGCTTTGTGGGTGTCAGCTACAGATTTGGGTGCTGGTACCCACTGGGTTTGGGGATGGAGGTGTTCAGTCAGGAGAAGCAAGCGTGCTCGGTGCCCATGCTCAGCCTTGCATATCCCTCCCGTGTGCCTCCCCAAATTCCCAAATCCCTCCTGGGATGCAGGGAGCAATCAGCACCTTGGTTTGAAAGCTGGAGCCGGGCAATCCCGTGGGATCAGACGCTGTGAGCCTGCCCTGAGATGGGGACACTGTGGGCAGCAGAGCACCCCATGTCCCATTGGGTGCCCACACCACCCTGCAGTGGTAGATCTGCAAAGCATACATGTCGTGACCCCTTCTGCACTGGTTTTGGGTTCCCCAAGAGTTGTACAGTGAGGAAGAGGAGGCTGGTGATGAAGCCTCTTTGACACAAGCCTCCTTATTTGCATGACGCTGCACGACCATCATTCCCAGGCTACTGCTGGCTTTGGGCAGAGTCTCATCTTCCCCCAGTCCTCAGCCCCTTTTGAGCCAGCACTTTGCCCCCAAGCCCCTTTTTTCCTCTTTCCTCTGTCTCATGGACACCCCCAGCAAAGGTCCCGTAGCCCCTCCACCTGCGGGCGCCTTTCCTCCGAGCAGCGACACAGTTGAACCATGAGCTATTTGCAGCAAAATCCATGAGGTTTGTCTTCCCCGAAGCACACGGTTTGTCATAGCACAGCATCTCATGTCAGCAGTTACCTTCCCAGCAGATTCCTGGAAGTCTCCTCTCCCCATGGTGCCTCCTTCACAGCCCTTCCCCAGTCCTGGAGGACTCAAGCAGAGTCAGCCTTGAGATGCCCCCCCTAAAAAAGCAGCCCATCTCCCTTCCCTTTCTTTGGCAGGTTGGAGTTTTTTCTCAGCTCCAGAGGACGTTACTTAATTCTTTGCCAGCATCTATTTCCTTCCCCTGCTCGGTTTGGGAATTGGGCTTTGGGATTCCTGGGATGAAACCTGCTGTCTAACTGACAGATGGCTTCCTCGGATGCCAGCGTGCGGTGCAGCATCCTCGTTAAGCTTCCAGCTGATGGCCTCGCTCGCAGGAGAAATGCCATCGATCTGCCCTGCCCCAGCCAGAGCGCTGGCATCCTGGTCTGATGGCACAATGTAATTTGGTGGCTGGCAGTGTCCTTCCCAGGATGTTTTTCATGCTGTTAGAGCTGTTGGTGTTTCTGGGGGTGACTCCTTGCATTTCCCCGCTCTTCGGGGACGGTGGCACCCAGGGCAGCTGCCTCTAGGAACATTTGCCCCAGGGGTAAAAACCACCCGTGTGTTATTCTCTCTCCTAGGTGACATTGGAGGCCAGATGGGGCTATTTATCGGTGCTAGCATCCTCACTATACTAGAGCTCTTCGATTATATATACGAGGTAAGACCCTCACCCTTTGCCTTTTATTCCTCTGGCGGGGTGCAGGTTTGCCAGCCTTGATGCCAGGCTGGGGTGGTCCTGGACCAGGACCCTCCATGCCCAATGTGCCCACGTGGATAATTAATGCTATAATTAATTGTAATGAATGATACCATATAATTAATGCTCTATGATAGTGCTGTATAGTAGGTCATGGCTATGTAGTATGGTGCGAGGTCCCTGCATCAGCTGGGGCTCTCCATGTTGGAGGGCTGGCATGCAGCCGCGGCTTGCCATAGCCAGGTTCGCTTGGCACCCTGCCTCTGCTAACGAGGTTTGCTTCTCGCTTGGGCTAATTAAGCACCACCTTCATGTGGCTGTGCTGCTTCCCAGCCTGGATCTCGCACTGCCCATGGTGCGGTGGCTCCAGGATGCTGGCTAGGGGCCTGCCGCTGCAACCCTCCTGTCCCCGTCCCCATCCCCAGCTGGGCTTCTCCCAGCAGCACACCATTATTATCTTCTCATAAAAACTCCTTTAATTAATGCCTGAGTCCCAATTCAGGCATCAGGCGGGAGAAGCAGCGAGGCCAGACCTTTTACCACTGCCGGGGGGTGGAAAACCCCCAGTCCCTGTTATCTGCTGTCTGCAGCTCTGCCAGCAGCCCTGGAGCAAGGAGCTTTCTAGGAAGCACCGGGACGAGCTCGAGCGTGGGGCCGCGGCTCTGCAGTAGCCAAGAGCAGCTGCTCTGGAGAAAAGTGCAAGCCCTCTTTAATGGGAATTATTGCAATAAGCAGTCCGGAGGGGACGTTGCTTTCTGGCAGCCCTCCCTCCTCCTGCCCTCCAGCAGCAGAATTACGACCCTTGTATATTTATAATCTCTTTTTGACTAAGCAGGTTCCCCCAGTGAACGCTGCTGTCTCAGCTGAGCATCTCCCAGGGGATTTTCAGATTTTCTATGCCATGGTGGCAGCACAGGCCCCGGTGATCCTACACTGTCACAGCCTGCCTGCGGGCATCATCCCTCCAGCATCCTCCACTGCTGTCCCTGCGAGCACAGAGGCAGATTCGAGCTGCTTTCTGCGCCCTCCTGCCATTTACACTTTCTCCACCCTATATTTTTTTTTTTCACCTAAATGGGCCATGGTCCAAAATAACCCTCCCTGGAGCATCCTCCCTGCCAGTCATTGATTTTCCTTCCCAGTCTTCATCGCCACACCGCAAAAGACTTGGTGTTGGGGGGCAGGCTCATGATTTTGGCTTGGAAAAGGGGAAATTGAGGCAGGGAGAGGAGCTGCAGCTGGATGCAAGCCACCAAGGAGCAACCTGTTGGCACCAAGATGACCCCAGGGACCCGAACACGCATACGTGCGTCCTGTTTTATAGCAGGAAAGAATGAGTTTATGGCTTGGGATGGTTTTGAGGAGGATGCAAACACCTATGGAGACAGGCAGTTCCCAGCAAATTTGGCACATCCCAGCCCAAGGTCCTTTGCCCTTGTCCCTGGGAAGGTGCCTCCTGCTAATTCAGCTCATCTTCTCATTACCTGGTGATTTTAACGCAATGGCTTTGGGCCTCCTGCACCTAAATATGCAATACCTTAGAATCTTCAGAAAAACGAACTTACCCTGCTGTTACTCAGTTGTGCCTTAGGGGGAAATGCCTGCAGCTATGGCGATTTTGTAAGTCACAGTCCTGCTCTAAATATGGAAACACATGCTTTGATACATAAGCAATTTCAAAACTGCTGTATTCTTCTTGTTTCAGCAATGATCACCTAAGAACTGGCTTAGTAGACTAGATCTAGACCTTAGTAGACCTTTCCCAGATACTGCATGCAGACCCAGAACTTCCTGGCCCTTTTTATTACGTCTCGATGGATTTTTCTTCCACAAATTCTTCTGATTGCTTTTTGAGCTTTTAAGAAGCTTTTGGCATCCGCCATATCTTGCGGTAACGATTTCCCCAGTTGGATTTGGGATAGGAAAAACATAGTCCAGCGCTCTCATAGCCCTGTCTCAGCCCCGTATCGTGATCGGACTGGAGATTTTTAATCTCATGAGATATTGCAGTCAGGGGTCGTTCGTGGCCGTTGCGTTAATGTCTGCCAAGCCAGGTGGGTGCACAGGGATGTCAGGCAACCACGGTCTCTGCTCTAAGCTCGCTGGGGCATCTTGAAAAACCTCTTAATGTTATTAAAGTTGGGATGCCGACTTTACGTTTTAAGACAGTCACTCCCCATCACAGTCCCTTCTGGGCAGCTGTTAGCACTTGGTGGCATTATTCTGCAATAAAATATATTGAAAATTACAAGCATAAAGCTCATAATGGCTTCAGAGTGCAAACAAAACCTGTGCCTCAGTTTGTATCTCAGGTTGAATGCACACAATATTTCATTAAAATCGCCTATTCCTGGCTTTCTTGGGGTTCTTTCATAAGAAGGCAATAAGAAACCTCACAAAATTTGGATTTTTCTTCTCTGTTTTACCCCTTTGTTTGACATCTGCTTATAAAACTTGGCAAATAGTTTCCTCTTGCTGGGTTTTTTTGTTGTTGTTGTTGTGGTTTGGTTTCTTTTCTTCTTTTTTCTTTTTTTTCTTCTTTTTGGGCAAACATGGCTTAGGAGGGCATCCTGTCTCCTTGGAGAGGCTCCCTGCGCACACCTGGGGATGCAGCAGCAGGTTCACTCTGTGCAGGAATCATCCTTGTGGTCACTCGTGACAGATATCTAACCCACACCAGATAGGAAGAAGAGGAATAAAATGTCTTAAATGATGCCTAATCTACATGATTGATCTAATCTGCTCAGGGTTACACCAAGGGGGAGTTCAACGCACTTAAAATTCATTGTGTTTTCACCCAAAGCGTTTGTAAAGTCTTTGAGATTGCCAGCAAACAGCTACAACTCTTGTTTTCCAGTGGCTTAGCCCAAATTGGATTAAATATTGACCCTAGAGATGGGGTTTTTTTACATCGTTTGCTCAGTGCAATCCTCCTCCCCAGGGCAGAGTCGTGCTCCTGGGCTCATCGGGGTCCTGAATCCCCACCACACGTCACTGCCCGCCGGCTAACATCCACCTTGCTTCCTTAGGAACTGACCCAATTTTTCACGGTTTTAGCTTCCCCCCACCCCACCCCTACAGTGGAACATTTTCAGAAAAACACTCACTTCTCAGCCTTTCTGGGATTTCCCTTGAAAATATTCTCCAGCAGTAGCGGCTGCCAAGGCAATAACGTGGCTGTGAAGGGAAATGGCACTCACATCGCTGACATCTTTCAATAAACCCCCAAATATCTTCAAAAAAACAGAGTTTTGGGGGTTTTTTTTCCATGTGAAGAATTATTTTTTGACACATGGGGTGATTTTCTTGGAAAGATTGTCTCCTTCTCTATGTCCTTTGGAAGGTGTCCTGCCAAATCGGCACATCCCCTGGGGCTGTGCCCCCAGCCCCATTGGGGGAGGCTGCCCATGCAGGCAGGGCAGATGCCTTGCCTGTTCCTGCCCACCTTAACCCAACCTCCTTCTTTTGCAGCTGATCAAGGAGAAATTATTAGACCTACTTGGAAAGGAGGAAGAGGAAGGGAGCCATGATGAAAATGTGGTAAGGAGCCCCATTGGGAGAGAGGAGGAAATTTCCCTGCGGTCGGCTCTGTAGGCAGGCGAAGTCGCTCCATATGGATGCAGCGTTCAGCCCCGACTTATTTCCAAAGGATCGATGCTATGGCTCGGCCACAGAAAGGAGATGGCGGTTGGGGAGGGACAGGGAGCATCCAGCAGCCCCAGGGTAACCCTGTCCCCCGCTCTCCATCCGCAGAGCACGTGCGACCCCATGCCAAATCATTCGGAAACCATCAGCCACACTGTGAACGTGCCACTGCAGGCCACCCTGGGAACGCTGGAGGAGATCGCCTGCTGACACCGTCTGACCGCTCCACAGTGCCAACACCTAAGGAAGGAAAACTGCACAGGAAAGCAGGGACCAAGCTCAGGTTTGCAACGGGGGCAAAAAAAAAATATAGTAAAAAAATATTTAAAAAAAAAAAGGAAGAAAATTGCTATGCATTAAAAAA